GAGGAAACCATTGCTAACAAGAACACAACGATTGGAAGTGCTTCTTACCTGCTTTTATATCAATCAGTCTGCTCTTACAATCTAAGTAGTATGATAGTGATTTCACCTGACTAGTACTCATTCACACTTTCACATGTGCTGCTGATGTGATTAGTTAATGTTAGCTGGTCATTTTGTGTTAGGATCAAAAAACAGTGAAATTTGCTTTTTTGTGAAAAGTTCATTTTTTGGCCAATGAAGCTTTTAGCAATCATTTAAAATGCATCTGATCACTCTCCACAATAATCTAGAAACAATGTGAATGAACACCACAACAGCTTAAGCTGCAAACTTTGCAAAACACAAAATTTATGTCACTGCCAAAACTTTTGGCCATGACTGTACATGCTGCCACTTGGCAACATTATTAGAAAACATGGAATTAGCTTCCACTGCTATGCCGATGATAGTCAGTTATATCATCACGACCAGATGACATTTCTAAACTATCCAATTTGACAGAATGTGTTAAAGATATAAAACATTGGATGACCAGTAATTCTTCTATTAAATTCAGACAAGACTGAGGTATTACTTATTGGACCAAAAATCTGCACACAGAATCCCTTAGAATACAATTTGCAAATAGAATTATGTACTATTATGTCATCTGCAGTTAAATACCTGGGTGTTATATTAGACAGCAATTTGTCTTTCAAAAATCAAATTTCATATGTTACAAAAACAGCCTTCTTCCACCTCAGAATCATTGCTAAGCTACTGAACATGTTGTCTGTTTCTGATGCAGAAAAGCTAGTTCATGCATTCATGACCTCTTGACTGGATAACTGTAATGCACTGCTAGCTGGTTGCCCTGCATCTTCAATAAACAAGCTACAGTTAGTCCAAAATGCAGCTGCTAGTGTTCTTACCTGGTCAAAAAAAATATGATCATATTATTACAATTGTATAATCTCTACATTGGTTACCTATTAAGTTCCATATTGATTTCAAAATATTGCTACTGATCTATAAGGCACTAAATGGTGTAGCTCCTGTATATTTAACTGATCTTCTTATGCCCTACAATCCATCACACTCTATATATGCCCACTAAAGGAGGGAGATCATTTTCCCATCTGGCTCCTAAACTCTGGAATAGTCTTCCTGATAATGTCCTGGGCTCAAACACTTGCTCTCTGTTTAAATCTATTCAGCCAAGCATTCGCTTAATGAATCTCATACCCTTGTTCCCAGTTAGATCAGATAAAAGTCACAAACATATTTTTTGCTTGAAACATGAACAGCAGCTATGCTAATTCTTTTCCATTTGCCTTTCTGTTCCCCGGGATGCCTATCTCGAGGTAACTATAGATTACACCAGCTCCAGCATGGATCCAAGCTCATAGAACGACTTCAGATGACCCAACAACTGTGAAGAGATGATGCTGACCCCTGAGAGGACCCCAGATGACGCCAACTTGAATCGACATGCACAACTGCCAACATTTCTCTATATTGTCATCATTATGATCACACTTATAATAATCGCTTTAATGTAAAAAAAGCTTCTGCCTAAAATTAATGTAGCTAACTTACCTTGAACTGTTCATTTGTGAAATGAACATTACTTGGACACATTCACTTCTGATAAAAGATCACTCTAAATTGTAATGTAGACACATGCATTTTCTGTAAAGCTGCTTTGAAACAATGTGTATTGTGAAAAGCACTATACAACTACATTTGAATTGAATTGAATTAAATGCTCTCTAAAACTAAAGGGTCCAATACCACCATGGATATTTTTTTAAAAGGATTATTTTTATCATTCAGTTATTTTATCAATTGCCAGGCACAGTATCAAGTGATTAAGTCAAAGGAATTTGAAGCAAAACATGTTCCAAATGAAAAGACACTCAGTAGTGGTCAACATTCCAAATGATTTTTCTCCTTGAGCTGCAACACCTACTTCAGCCTGCTCTCATAAATCTCATTCACATAATGCAACATTAAACTTACATCTTGTACAGTTTTCAGGCATTTTAAAAAGCTCCACCACAAAGACATCATTATATGACTTTACTGCATTTTAAATTCATTTAAAATGTGAGTTTAGATTTAAATTTTAAATCTGGGTGGCACATCCTGTTTAGGGAACGTCCAAAATGAATGAATCAAAATCATTTTAAATAATAAAAAAGGCTGCACTACAAATAATCCTTATCCGTCTGACTGGAGCTGTAGGCCTACATTTTCTATCATGCTCCATTTTTATTAGTAAGGAAAATAATAGCCTATATTTGTATTTTAATGTCACACAAGAAAATCTGTGACAATCTCTTTTCAGTCTGCCAGCTGTGTTCTGTTCACTGATCTATAGAGAATTATATAGATCAGTGGTTCTGTTCCTCCTGATTATTTTCTGTTTCGCTGTGTTAATATTAAAGACACTGCGTGGTTGTGGTGTCTGTTTTTATCTCCAAATCTCACATCTCTTACCCGGTTTTTCCACACGGTGCTTTAAAACTGACTCCCCTTTTTCACTTCCGATTACTTTCAGCAGTGTTCACAGTAATATTTCTCAAGCTATGCAACATTTATCTGTCAAAATGAGGAAAGCCGTTTGAAATGTCCATCAGCGTTCCAGTTAATGACGGAAAAGCTTTGATTAACTATTATGTGACACAGTTATGTTACATAATAGACCAATAGCCTACTATACAGTATTATTTAACACGACCATTATTGCTGTTGTAACTGTAAGACTCATTCATTTAAACTTTTGGGATTATTCTTATAGTAATTTCTTAATACATTTACACAATTAATTTGCTTTTGATATTCGATGTTTGAGGAGTGATGAGAATGTCACCTTACTGTACGTTTTTTGCAAATGAATATTAGTGTATTCTTAAAGCAAACCTTTGAAAGTTTATTGGCACTCGCTGACTGTTTACAGTTTCGCGCAAAGCATCATGGGGCTTTGACCAAAGATGGAGGTAGATAACTAGAATATCAAAATGTGAGCTGTAAAGCGATTTGTGCTACAAACCAGTGGGCTTATTATTCAAATAGCTAAAAATAACTTAACTGCCTTGCACTTTCAAGTTACAAATGGCCGCGCTCGGTCTTATGGTTAAGCATAGGGTGCACAGCAATAAAGGAGATGCTGTCGTCAAATTAGCTCGTTACGTTGAAGGTTTGCCTCTCCAACAGCCATTTTGTTTGGTCTCGGTCAACCTTTTAAAGTCACATTTTATTAAACATACAACTTTTTTCAACAGTTGGGTAAATGTCCAAAGGAACATCACTTCCGGTTCATGCATCACTAGCCGCCATTACAAAAACAACAACAAACGCCGATTTGAGTTGATACTATCGCGGGAAACCGTATTTAACGCACTGTTGTACCGTGTTTGCAAAAAAACAGTAGGTCATCTTAGCACTAGGCTTTTCAACAATTGTATCGTAATATGCAATTCGAACATTATCTTAATCTGCCTGCTTCGTCTCACGTTTTTTATACCATTTATTTATACGTTATGTATAAATACATAAAGATAAGTTACTATATGACATCGTAATACATCATCTTCATTCACTTCCATGATCATATGCTGAATTCGGAATAGACTCTCACTACTACTGCCATTTGAAGAAATAATAGGCCTAAGCCTGGTATAGTAGCATGTTAGTCCGAATTCAGGCTATTTTTCGTTTCCTTTCTCCTTTTTCTGAACCGCTTTTCTGTTTTTAAATAGTTATTATAGCACGACCAAACAGCTTTCCAGTGCAGGTCGTAACAAGCATTTCATTGGTTGGACCAACTGAGCGACCACGCCCCCATCACTAAACGAGTCATTGTTTTAAATCCGAACGAGACTGAACAAAGATCCGCTGAGAGAGGGGCACGTCGTGTGATTTAGTAAGTATCGTTCACAACATCAAAGGACGAGGAAGAATTGAACTGTTGGGGAAACGCATACTCATTTTTCAAGATCTCTTAGTTTATTTGCAAACATAAAACCATAACTGATAATGATACATTTCGGTTGTAAATGACTCGGTTTTTTTTTTGCGAATCGGTTGCGTAAATTGAAGACTCACTTAGTTATAACACACAAAAAGACACGCACTGATCGCCACCTACTGGAGTAACGATGCCATTTACAAAAATCCGGAAACAAATCTTTTTTTAACTGATTCAAAAGATTCGAGTCACTAGGATGAATCAAAATTCCCACCAGTGCCCAAAGTGTTTCCACGTTACAAAGCAGCAGAACGCGTGCAACGGAACGGTTTTGGATTCAAACGCGATCGACTCCTCTACGTCAGACCGACCGATCTCGCGGCATCGCCAGAGGGAGGTCCTACTACCGAAGCACCGAACGGGACAGGGTGGTGGTAAGTAGTAGTAACGTTAAATGTAATGGATTTGACTTTCTGGACAACTTGCACCGGATAGCTGGCGGCGCGACGTGTAAATGCGGAAATAAGTTAGCTGCGTGCGCGATCTGGAAATCTGGGTATCGCTAAAGATGGTTATGAATGTTTGTATTGTATGTTTTCAAATTGTTTTTATCAACCTGGTTAAAAGACTGCATGCAACATTCGACATTTATTAATACACGATATAATTTAGTTTTTGCTAAAGTGTGTGCCTCATGTAATAAACACAATTTTTTTTGAACAAATTACACAAGGAAAAACACGATATATCTAGTCTAAGAAATATATATTAATTAAGATTACACGTAAAAAGTAATCTCTAATTTCCTTAACGCATTGTGCGAACGTATAACATGTTGAATAAATTTTAGCAGAACATTTGATCAACGAACGGTAACATGTTTGTTAAGACATGACTTTTTCGCCTCGTTGTTTCCCGTGCAGTCTGTGTCCCACCGTGCAGTGTGGAGGAATGGCTGCTGGGAGGCCGCTCGCGCTTCATTGGCCCCTACAGCTGTTTCCTCCCTTTAAGTTTTCGCGGCAAATGGAATGGTGCGCATGCGCGGATATGCTCTATAACCGATTCTGAGTGTGCCTATTTTCCAAAACGTCATTTAACTTTACACGTAATAAATCGTCTTCATCTGGGAGCATTTTCTGTCGAGAAGAAAAGATCTGTTTGGTCTGTGATTCCTCCTTTCAAACGGATTTTTTTGATTGTTTGAATGAACAAACCCACATTTAGCGCATATAGTGGTCTGCGGTTAATTTAAAGACTTTACTTGTTACTATGTGGACTCAAAAATTATTATTACGTACTTAATACTGTCTTTATGTATGTATCATTGTTAGGGTATTTATTTGTGAACAATTATCAACGTTTTCAGACTAATGTATTACAATAACTCCACAGGTTATGGAAAAATGGTGGTGAATGTGAAGATTGGAGATGAGAAACACAATCTCAGTGAGCTGCTGGACTGGCTCAACCATATACTGCATGCCACTTTCAGCCAGTTGGAGCACACCTGTTCAGGTATTTTTGTTTCCAGGTTAATTGAAACATTTTAATTGGAAAGCGTTGAATGTTAGATATTTTTCAGTAACACTTTTATGGTGTTTTTTTGTAGGTGCTGCTTTTTGTCGGTTGATGGACATCATTCACCCTGGATCTATCGACATAAATAAAGTGAAGTTCACAGCAAAAGAGAATGCAGACATCTTGGATAATTACAGTCTTCTACAGGAAGCTTTCAGCAAGGCACAAATCAAGAAAGTGAGCAATTAAATAAAAATTCAGATTATGCTGGCAAAAAAAATGCATCATATAAAATGTTTTTAATTGTATGGCTATGCAATGATCAACATGTATTATTGTCAACAATGCATTTTCTCTCTTTTTTTTATAGGAACTGGAGCTGAAATTGTTGGTGAATGGAGACATCCTGAAAACATTAGATTTGCTTACATGGTTCAAAGATCTTTATGATCACAATGTTGCAAAGCAGAAGTACAACCCTCAGGAGGGTTTTGTTGAACAGGAAGTAGTATCATTGAAATCAAGCAGAGAGTTTGAAATCTGTAGGTGTTTACTTTTAGAGTTTTTTTTTTTTATTGTTGATATTGTGACCTGTATGCCATTTTTTTATGACTTCTTCCTTTCTTTTTATTGATAGCTAAGAAGGAAGAACAATCTTCAAGACTCTACAGTCCTGTGCAAACAAAGTATCTAAACCAGAAAATGCTAAATGTTAAGAGGGGATCACAGGAGTCTTTCTTCCGGAGTCCGGCCACAATGTGTTTCATCAGAAAGTATAGCTCATCTACCTCACCTGATGCTGGATCAAACTTTGCCAGTAGCAAGGACAGTCTAGTATTAGGCCAGAAATGTCGGGAAGACATTACAGCCTTCTGTAGTCAGACTCCATACTGCCTTTATTTATACCATGGAGTGGAGCTTGAGGATGAGAACAAGGCCAGTGTGCTGCTGTTGGGCTTTTTTGACAAAGTTACTGGGGAAAACAAATTCAGACTGCTTGATGTTCTTCATCCAGAGGAAGAGACTGCTGATGCCATCTGTACCTGCATAGTGGAGATGCTGAAGAAGTTCAGAATACCTCTAATAAACATGGCAATATTTTATTCAAATTTCCCAGATCATGAAGGTCTTCTCTCAGGTCTAAAGTTGCTGAAACCTGAGATTGTGTCTTTATGTGGACTTACAGATATGGCAGAAGTGTTTCACAGTGGTGTTGAGAATATGGAGTTTTCTGGCCTGATTCTGAATCTCATCACAGAGATCTACAAACACTTTCCAACTTTCCCAGCTGCTCTACAAACTTTCCTTGAAGATGTTGATTGTTCGAACTTCAGAAATATCCTGACGTCCCAATGCTCTCTCTTCTGGAGAATCATCCAGAAAATTACTTTAGCTTGGTCAGACCTTGAGAAATACTTTGGATCTCTGGATGCAGATGAAAAATCAATCTGTCGTCTTCTTAGTGACCCCAAAATAAGACTCAACGTCCTCTTTCTTTGCCACGCTTTGCAACCGCTTTGCGATTTTCAGGAGAATATTGACCGAGGTGTCAGCGTGACACAGCTGCTTCAAGATGCTTCTCAATTAGTGAGATTCTACACAACACGTTTCCTCAGACCTAAAGCAGCAGAGTTTTTTCTTAGAAGAGGCAAGACCTCGCTTATACAGGACACAGTGGGACATTTACCTAGAGGAGAGGTTGAAGTTGGCAAACAGGCTGCTGATTTTCTCCTGCAACGCTCTGAAGAGTTGACGGACTGCTTGGAGACATTCCACAGTTCCATCATCTCCTTCTACGCGACTGTAACTGTTAATATTATTGAACGTTTACCCTTCTCAGATTCTATTCTGAGAAACTTGTCATTAGTGTTGAGTCCAGGAAAAAAGCTTGAGGTGACTGGCAAAATAGTCCAAGATTTAGGTGTCTGTTTTGGAGTTTGCTCAGGCCCTGAGAATGTCAGTTTACTCACAGATGAGTTTTTGGAGTACCAGTTCATTGATGGGGGTGACACACAACTAGCCGACCAGTCAATGGAGCAGTACTGGAAGACGGAGCTGAGGATTATGGGAAGGACATCTGGTTTTGGGAAATTAATCATTAGCTTGTTGGCTTTGCCCAGAACGTTGAAAAAAGAGATCATTTTTGAACAGGTGAGTCTGGTGTTTGAAGAGCTTGAGAAACCAAAATATCATTTATCAGATATCTGTGTGATAAGATATAATTTCTCCCTTTTAATGTGACCGTGGTTATGAAAATTAATTTAGTTTGGATTAAGGGACCTCTGACGATGTTTAAAGTGTCGAGAACATTCAGAGCAACTTTCGTCCATGGCAATGCACTGTCAACCGTCTAGAGCAGGGGTGTCCAAACTCGGTCCTGGAGGGCCGGTGTCCTGAAGAGTTTAGCTCCAACCCCAATTAAATACACCTGAACCAGCTAATCAAGCTCTTACTATGCATACTAGAAACTTAAAGGCAGGTGTGTTGAGGCAAGTTAGAGCTAAACTCTGTAGGACACCGGCCCTCCAGGACCGAGTTTAGTCACCCCTGGTCTAGAGCATCCAAGCATGACAGCAAGTTTTACATAAGCAAATGTCTGAAAGTTTGGTTTGTGTTTGTGCGTGGTTGTCTGTATCTTAGATGTTTCAACAAACTGACTATCTCAAGGAGAGGAAAATGGAGGACTTTGAGGAGAAGGACATGGCTGAGGACGATGTTACAGACAGCAGTTCATATAAAAGTGCTCCATCACATCTCAGCCCAGAGACTCAAGGGAGCGTTATGTCCGGTAATGAGACATACTTATACTCCATAAGGTTCAATATATATTGAGGAGCTGATCTGTACTTACTTTGCATCACAAATGCTTTTGCATTTCAGATATCATTGACTTAACGGAAATGGATGACATGGCACCAATATACGTGGAGGACATTGCACCAATGGAAGTGGATGAAATTGTGCCAATCTCTTCTGATTCAGACACAGAAAGCCAAAATAACACAGAAGGTTTCAGACCCTGTTCAGACATACCAGCTACTAGTGGTATTTTCTTTTACAGTTCTGCAACATTGAGTAAAACTTACTTAGCCCTTCTTTTTGCTAGGGGATTATCCGTATGTGTCTGTGATCCTAGATGATGATGAGGATGATGAAATCACTGATGATGATGACGATTACAACTGTGATGCCAATGATGTCACATGGAATTATGCGGTAAATGTCGGTCTCATTTGTTTTAAGTTTAGTTCTGGATATCTTTATTGAACATTTTGCTTTCTCTGCCAGAAAAGAAAAGAAAATACGTCTTCTACACAAAACAATGAGAAAACCGAATACCAGGTAACTTTTTTTAATATATATTTTTTAATATTATAATAAAAATAAATGTTTTATTACTTCTGTGCAATTAATCTAAAGCTGAAGTGAGAAGTTTCTGTGCTTTTAACTATTTCTTTAAGATGGAACAGGATAAAGTGTTTTAACATCAGAAAAATGAGAGAGAGTAAGACTTTAGACTCTCCATCCAACGAGTGCTATGTTTTCTTTTTAGGATGGTTACACAGTGGGTGAGATGGTTTGGGGGCCGATTGAGGGCTTTGGTCTTTGGCCTGGACTGGTTCAGAGCTGGGACAGCAAGAGGCCTTGTGGCTCCATGCGTAAAGTGATTTTCTTTGGGAACAGGATGCTATCAGAGGTAGAAAAATGGCTATGCAGTGTTATGTGCAAGCTTTTGGGTATTCTTTTACTTAAATATGTGTATATAACAAATGGTCTATTGCAGGTCCAAGCAGACGATCTCCTGCCCTTTGTTTCATTTGCCAAGTGCTTCTGTTCTAATTCCTTCGCTACAGTAATGGCGTACAAAGATGCAATTTTTAATTCTCTGCAGGTAAGACAAATTTTGTTATTAGTGCTTTGTAGTTCATGCACTAGCATGCGGTTTGCAATTTACTCTGATATTACAGTCTGGAAAAACAGTTTTGGAAAGCTAAGCCTAATTTTGCCCCTAAATATCACTGGTAATATTTTTGTTTGCACTTTGGAAAACATTTGTTTGCAATTCGTATTGGTTATGCTAGTGGCACTGAAATTACTTAACCTTTAAAGGTTTAAAAAAAACTTCCAAATGTTAGTACAAAACAGAAACATATTTGCGTCTCATTGTGTGATTGTTCATGTGTCTGTAGGTGGCCTCCAGACGCAGTCGAATGTTTTTTTCTCCTGAGACAGACTCTAAGGATGAACTGCTTAGAGTCATGTTGGACTGGGCCTTTGGAGGCTTTGAACCATTGGGTCCAGAAGGACTTCAACCTCAATCAGAATGCAATGGTATGCAACAAGCCCCGAAGGGCGCTCTTTAACCACAGTGCTTTATTCCAATGTGTAGCATGTAGTATCAAATGCTGTATTAATTTACTATGTATTTATATCTCTCTTTCTTCCTTAGACAAGATTTGTATGCCTCAATCAGTGAATAGGAACATGAGAAAGCACAAAGACTCTAAAGGAAAGTTATTTAAATTAACTGTGTCTCTCAGTAAACTCCCTGAATCCCTGGACCTGCACAGTGGCTCGATAGACCTTGGGACAACCGATGTTTATAGAAAAAGCATGTATTCAGAATTGAATCAGAGATCCTGGCAGACTGTGAAGACCCGTAGAAAACAAAAACCACAGCGGAATAAGCATCAAAATATTACCCCAAGCGTACATATCGAGTCCAGACAGAACAGCCAAAAAAGACGTAAGTACATCATTAATATTTATTGTTGCTATTAAAATTGTGATGGCAAAGGAAGAAAAAAACCCTAAGTAGCCTGGTGTTTATTGAAATGTTTTGACAGATCAAATGGTGCATGAATTTCTGGAAAACAAGAGAAACATTCAAGGTCAGAAACCCTTTCATAAACATTGCAGTAACTGTTGATAATGAGTGAAGGTCATCCTAACTTAATTTCTCCTCCTTCTCAGAGTTCTGCTTATCATGTGGGAGTACGCCTGTCGAAATCATCCACCCACTATTCGAAGGAATGCTGTGTTCAAACTGCAAGGTAGTAAATACAGTTACACAGCTGTAGTTCTCTCCACACAGGGGTTTTGGCTATACCAGCTACAGCTGTTACTAAATGTTGCATAAAATCAAGTATACAGTCATACAACACAATACAATCCTTCAGTGATGTGTCTGTTTGTCACATGTAGTATAATTTCACGGAGACGCTGTACAGATATGATGAAGATGGTTATCAGTCGTACTGCACCGTCTGCTGTTCTGGCATGGAGGTCATTCTGTGTGGCCATGACAACTGTTGTCGGTGAGTGTTTATGGTAATGTTGATACAAGGTCATGGGTTTGATTCCCAGGGAAAGCAAAATCTGATAAAATGTGTAGCTTGAATGCAATGTATGTATTTAGTATTTCAACTGGTGTTCTTAGACATATACTTGTGTATAGTTGAACTTGGTCTTTTACGCTTCCCTAGCTCCTACTGTGTGGACTGTCTGGATATCCTGGTGGGTGAGGGCACATTTGACCAGCTGAAAAATGTAGACCCATGGACGTGTTACCTGTGTGCACCTGAGAGCAGCTCTCGAGCTTTGAAGCCCAGGAATGACTGGAGCATCCGAGTGCAGGAATTCTTTGCCAACAACAGCGCTATGGAGTTTGTTAGTGCTTGTTTCATATTGTTCATCATCTTGTAAAAATGTTTACTCTGATATTACAGTCTGGAAAAACAGTTTTGGAAAGCTAAGCCTAATTTTGCCCCTAAATATCACTGGTAATATTTTTGTTTGCACTTTGGAAAACATTTGTTTGCAATTCGTATTGGTTATGCTAGTGGCACTGAAATTACTAGCTATACAATATGAATATGATCTTCCTTATTTGTGTTTGAATTGGTTCGACCAATGACATTTGTTCTCCTCAGGAGCCCCATCGTGTTTACCCATCAATCCCTGCTAACCAGCGACGTCCAATCAGAGTGCTTTCTTTATTTGATGGTATAGCCACAGGTAAAACTGCCCGTATTCCTCAACCACTTTAGTTTAATACATACTTATTATAGTGTTCTTGTACTGGTTATATGACTCATTTAAATGCATTTTTATGTTTCAGGATACCTTGTCTTGAGGGATCTTGGCTTCAAAGTGGAAAAATATGTGGCCTCAGAAGTTGATGAAGAGTCCATTACCATTTCCATGGTCAACCATGATGGAAAAATCACTCATGTGGAAGATGTTAAAAACATTACGAAACAGCATGTATGCAAAATTATTTTTCGTCGTCTTGTTTTTTCCCCCCATGTCTTTAAAGTGTTAGTTTACCCCAAAATGAAAATTGTCATCATTTACTGACCCTCATGTCATTCTAAAACCACAAGAGTTTTCGTCTTTGGTTCATTAATATTTTTATTTTTATTCATTTCTGTTCCTCGATTGACAGTCTCTTCACCCAAAATTCTGATGCTTCAAAATGTTTGTAAAGAGATCAAAAATAAATCCATATGAATGAAGAGGTTTAATCCAAGTCTTTTGAAGAGACGCAATCATTTTATATGATGAACAGATTTCATTTAGGCTTTTATTCACATATAATCATTGATCAGTGAACATAAACAGAAGTTCAACCATTCCTGCTCGACACGCGAGACCAAACCTCATTTGTTCTCACGCATCAAGCAAGCATGTTTTAGCTTTGGTCACCTGATTTAAATGCTGTAAACATTGTTCATTGATCAATGATTTTATGTGAACAAAAGCCTAAATTAAATTATTCATCTTATAAAGTGATCATATCTCTTCAAAAGACTTGGATTAAACCGCTCAATTCATATGGATTTCTTTTTTGATCTGTTTATGAACGTTTTGAAGCGTCAAGAGTTTTGAGTGAATATACTTTCAATGGAGGGACAGAATCTGAGATTTTATTAAAAGTATCTTCATTTGTGTTCCGAACACAAACAAATTTCTTTTAGGTTTGGAACAACATGAGGGTGAGTAAATGATAACAGGATTTTCATTTTGGGTTGATGTAACCCTTTAAATGGTAAAACCTCTCTGCACATGTACTGAGATTTATTTACACATCTGAAGAAGACTCCTCAGCAGTCTGCTGATTGAATTTATTCTCTTTCTTTGTTCAGATTGACAGATGGGGCCCGTTTGATCTTCTCATTGGTGGAAGTCCTTGTAATGACTTGTCCATAGTCAATCCTGCCCGGAAAGGCTTGTTTGGTAAGTCTGGATCCTGAAATCTAGTACATGATTCACACATCAGATTTAAAGTTTTGTTGAACGTGCTACTGCTGGGTGTGCTCAGCCAGCGCTTCATCTCATGTCAAAACAGGTAACAGTTAGCATCATTCATTGCATCTGAGATCCTCTTTACTCTCTGCAGAGGGCACAGGGCGGCTCTTTTTTGAATATTATCGGCTTCTGAATGTTATGAAGCCGAAGGAGGATGACTCACAGCCGTTCTTCTGGCTGTTTGAGAACGTGGTGTTCATGCAAACCCAGGTTAAAGCTGACATTTGCCGCTTTCTGGAAGTGAGTGTTCTTCTTGTTTCATAGACGTTTTGATAAATACTCTCAGCAGTTTATGGTAAATTTTAAAAAGCTCTTACATCTTGGGCAAATTGTGGCCTAATGGTTAGAGAGTCGGACTCGTAACCCGAAGGTTGCGGGTTCGAGTCTCGTACCGGCAGGGATTGTAGGTGGGGGGAGTGAATGTACAGCGCTCTCTTCCACCTTCAATACCACGACTGAGGTGCCCTTGAGCAAGGCACCGAACCCCCAACTGCTCCCTGGGCACCGCAGCAAAAATGGCTGCCCACTGCTCTGGGTGTGTGTTCACGGTGTGTGTGTGTGTGTTCACTGCTGTGTGTGTGCACTTAGGATGGGATAAATGCAGAGCACTAATTCCGAGTATGGGTCACCATACTTGGCCACGTCATGTCACTTTCACTTTCATTCTATATATTTTTTCTTGAATCTTGGGATCACGATTCACACAAGAATGTTTTGTTTTTAGTGTAACCCTGTGCTTGTTGATGCTGTGAAAGTGAGTCCAGCTCACAGAGCAAGATACTTCTGGGGGAACATACCTGGCATGAACAGGTGTGTGTCAGTTATATTCATATGAATAACACACTTGTTTTTTTTTTTGTTTTTTTTTTAACCTGGAAAATACACTCAACAGTGTAAACTAAACATCATCCATTTTATTCTGTTTTGACCAGACCAATCATAGCATCTCAGAATGATAAACTCCGGCTTCAGGAATGTCTGGAGCCTGGCCGCACTGCAAAGGTCTGTCATGAGCTTCTAACCAAAGATATGCAGTACATAGTTCACTAGTGATGAGTTCTGAAACTGGGTTATGTTTTAGTACAAACTGAAATTTGTACTGTTTTGCAGTATGAAAAAGTTCGCACTATCACCACACGACCAAACTCACTGAAGCAGGGCGCCAATGACGCACATTTCCCCATCACCATGAATGGAAAAGATGACAATATATGGATCACAGAAATGGAGAAGTAAGTTTTACTTCTGCCCTTAGCTGTAAATAAACATTCAAATACAAATATGTATTTTATTTATGATGATTCTCACACTTTCACAGAATATTTGGATTTCCGAAGCATTACACGGATGTGAAAAATATGGGGCGTTTACAGAGGCAGAGAGTGCTGGGGAAGTCCTGGAGCGTCCCGGTCATAAGACATCTTTTAGCACCACTGAAGGATTACTTTGCTTGTGACGAGGTCCCCTTGAAATGAACAGACATGATTTATCTTTTTCTGTCAGTGTGAATAGACTCAGGGACATGAGAATTTGTTGCTTTTAATGGTTTTACCCTTATTTTTTAAACTAAAATATGACTACCCGAAGAATTGTTTGGAATAATGTATGCTGGGAAACTATAGAAGGTTGATTCCATTTTATTGAATGTTGCATCAAGTCACGTCACTAAAAAAAAGTCATTTTCTCAATTTGCAGTCATGTTTAGCTACAAATGGAGTAACAAATTTGATGTGGGATTGAGCAAAATGAATAAACATGATGAGCAAAATGAATGTGCAATGCTCTGTGAAGTACCAAAATTACTACTGTCTAAGGTAAAGAAAATTATCAAATGTCACAAAACAGTAATTCACCACATCTTTGCTCCCACATTTTCATTATCTGAAGCATTTTGCCACTTGGTAGCTTTTATGTCCTTATGTCCATAATTATTATACAATGCACAATTTTTTTATCTAAGTCACATTTACTATAATAAGTTGTCATTTTCAGCTTATTATTTTAGTATAATTTTTTTAGTATTTAAAAAGTCTTAAACGAGTTATTAACGTACCAAATTAAACGAGACACAAAACGACTTTTATTTTGAAACGCAAAGACAAGCCTATTTTGGATGGACAGTCACGCAAAGTCTTCCACTGTGTAAGTAGACCTTCAGTCCTATTTTACGATATTTAGAAGAGAAGTAAGGGATAGCAGTATGCGTTGAGTGTCTACATAGATATCCTATGTAGAGGAATGGCTGCTGTTGGAACTTGGCCGCTTTCGCTTTATTTGCAGCAGCATCCGTTGCTGTCCACCCATTTACCGCGAAAACTTAAAAACAGGATGTTTGAAGGTTTCGCGGTAAATGGGTGGACGTGCTCAGTAACGCGTTCTCAGTCACAATATTCTCATCTTCCAGTGTTGCTCCTGAACTAGACATGCCAGTTGTAAAGGCGTCTTCATTTGAGAGGGCCTCGTTCAAAAAGAGAACATCTTTTCGGTTTGTTACTTTTCCTTTCAGCATTTGATGTAGTGTGCGTGTTGACATTTTCATAATCTACATTCCCGCACATTGCACACTGACTGACAACAGTGTATACAGCATTGATTAATGTAAGAGCAAAATCGTGAAATCACCAGATGTCCAACGTTGTAGCAAAATTAATTAAATTAGGTCTCAGCGTAGCGGGAAGCACAACAATCATAATTCATACGGCCATAGAAAACCGCGCGCGCGAATCATTTAAAAATAACTAACTTCACATTAGTTTATAGATGTTATTAAATAACTACTTAAAGGTGTGAGACTAAATATGTAGTTGTGATTTCAGAGAGATTTTACACGTCTAATTAAGCAAAATATGTTAGCAAGTGTGATCGAGAATTTTTTGCTGATTTTTTTAATCCTTTGATTAAATGCAGTGAAGCTAAACTTCACACTTAAATGGTAAGAAACGAATCTTTTCTTAGTTCAGAGGTTTTCAAATCAAAATCATATTTTGCAGACTAACATTAACATTACATTTTCAGATGTCTTTAGTTTGTTTCTCTTTCCTCCTTTGAAAATGTAAAAGAAAAGGTGAGTCTGTCAATCATGTGGAATAATGTCTTTGTTGCTAACAACAGTTAATTTGTAATGCAGTGGGTGCCTGAGATAACCTATCACTCCCCAAAAACCCCTTTTCTTCTGGTTAGAACTCAGATTGACCTACGAGATGATCCTATAACTATTACAAGGCTTGCAAAAAAACAAACAAAAGCCAATCAAACAAGAGACAGCTGAAAAACTGGCCAGAGACTTAAAGGCAGTGAAATATGTTGAATGCTCTGCTCTAACACAGGTAGGTTACGCGTGTCGGTATGTTGTTTATAAAGCCAAGTTTTAAGTGTTTTTCTTTATTTGTGTAACAAACCGATTCACTTTTTTTCCTATGTTACAGAAAGGACTAAAGAATGTATTTGATGAGGCAGTATTAGCAGCTCTAGGGCCCCCAGGATCCCAGAAGACATGCAAATGTGTTATTTTATGAGCTGGACACAGCAGCATCTTCAAAGACAAATCTGGGTGTAAACCAACAGGATTGTTTTATTTTTGTACAGGTTTTTATCAGGAAAGTAACAATAGGTTTTATTCAACAGTTTTTTTCCCCATCATATACCTTGATACTCATGTCATATGATAGGATGATATGTGTGCAGATTGTAGTCTCTTGACTCATTTTGTGTGCCACTTTTGAAGTAATTAGTTTAATATATGTGTGATGTCTGTTATCAGCTGAATATGACTTGTCCCACATTATGTCAAGTTGAGTCACTGGGGAATATCTAAGAAATTTGTATTTTAAATAAAAATATAAAAAATTATATATACAGAAACTATTCAGATTCTGATCTTCTTTTAAAAATATTCATAGTATTTCAGTGTGGTGACAAATATTTACATAGTTTTATACACTGCCACTTTACCAAAACGTATATAACAAATACATTTTTTAGACTAGGATAAACTTGTCATGGAGGGGGGAAATGATCAAAATCAGTTTTCTCATGTTATTTCTCTAATATGGACAGCTGTATATGATGGGCCCTTTTTAAATATTTAATCACATGATGAAAAATAATTAAGCGGGCGGTATAGCTCCCTCCCCCATTACTTTAGTTTTAAGCAATCCTTTCAAACAGCAGCTGCATATATGCAATTATACATATTAAAAGAAGTATTTAAAAATGATGACAATGTAGATAAAGATAAATTCATGTTATGGGAACATATCTGAAACGCAAGTGATGGCCCTCCTTATTAACAAAACATGAATGAGTCTGTTTCGGGTACTCAGTCTCAGTGCAACACAGTTTTTGGGAGATAATACGAATGCACTGATAATTAAGGCCTTTGGAAATATAAACATCTAAAAATGGATTTATATGTAGTACAAAAATAAAAAATACAGAACGATGAGTCTTCAAATACAGTCTTCAAGTTTTGTACAACACTGAGAGATGCACTTTTAACTTTTATAAGGCCTTTAAATTTACATTTACATATAACAGCGTTTCTCATAACAAAGAACAAATTCAGACAGTAAGACACTATCACTCTTCAGCTGCACAGATCTCCACACTACTGTTGGTGACCCGTATCCCATACCAGCCTGCCCAAAACTGTGTATCCTTCCCACCATGAGTGAAACGGATAAACCGAACCCCAGGTCCATAATCCTTAAAGACATGTGTCATCTGAAATTTTTGTAAAAATGTATATTTGGTGAGAATGACACAGTTATTTTTATCAGGTTCAGCTGATTGTATTTTATTCTACTCACTTCACACCACTGCTGATCGTTCCACTGTGGAAAGAAAACTGGTTCAGGCTCAAAGGTATTGATGGGTTTCTTCTTCTGATCAAGCAACTCTACACAGATTTGATACATGCTCCCACAATCGCAGCGCGGGGCGTACCTGCACCAGACAAAACATTCACAAAATAAACTTTATTAATTGGTATAATAAAGGAACCACTGATACTGTAAAATTAGAGTTTGAGCAAACGCTCACCAGTCAGATATTTTGATATGAGGTTGTAGTTGATCCATGAAAGCAGCACTGTAGCCTTCTTTCTTCAAATCTATCAGCTGTTGCTTCATACATAACCTGAGGACAAAGTTTATGGGTGACAAAGAAGGCCTCGCTATTGTCCTTTTAGCTAAACTGAATAAAAAAAGCATTTTAAAATAAATTTATTTAGGTTTGACTTTTCAGCTGAAGAATAAGTAATTTCAAGCTTACCAGTAAGAGGTGACAAAGTATTTTGCGACTGTGAAATGTGGGATTTCTACAGAATTATCTTCTACTGTCCAGCAGTCACCACCATTCTGTACAATCTTCCATCCACTGAACTCCTCTAATCAGACCAGCAGAGGAGCACATTATATAAATGAAGCAAGTGACACTGGCATTGCTTTTTCAGAAGGGAATAAGGTGGCAAACTAAGTGTTAAAATTAATTGTTTAAATATTAAGTGAATTTAGGGTAATTTCATATCTAGCGGTTCAATGAACACTGCTTGACCATTACCTCTGTATATTGGTATTGCAAAACCAATATTTGTATTTTATGTGGTTTAACCACAGTGGCCATCATGGCCTACAACATTTGCACATTGTTGTTCTTTAGACTTATAATTTAAGGTCAAATGTAATGATCAATAGTGCTCAGGGTTCCACATTTAGGGTCAATTTACAACGGGAAGGATTTGAGTCTCAGTCCTAAATCTTTTTAGGGGGTCCTAGTTAAAGGGTTAGTTCACCCAAAAATGAAAATTAGCCCATAAATTACCCTCAAGTCATCCTAGGTGTATATATTACTTTCTTCTTTCAGACAAATCCAGTCAGAGTTATATTAAAAATGGTCTTTGATCTTTCAAGCTATTTAATGGCACTCAGCGGGTGTTGCATGCATCAGTCCAAAAGAAGTTAAATAAAAAGCGCCCATCCTTAATAAAAAAAAAAGTGTCTCACACGGCTCCGGGGGGTGAACAAAGGCCTCCTGTAAGAAAAACAACCATATTTAAAACGTAATAATCACTTTAATTTAGCTTGCGCTCACTGTTGTACACTGGAAGCAGTTCCGGGGGAATGACGTATAAGTTCAAAAGCGGAGAGATCAAAACAAAACAACGGTCACTAATTAGAAGTACAAAACGAGGATTTGTAAAGAAGAATGTCGGAGGATTTCGATATAAGCCAAGAGGAGACTGGTTTTCCTTTGCTAAAATAAGGAAACTTTGCTTCCTTTGATCCTGTAAACAAACGTTGGTTTTCACGAGACTCACCGGCGCATGCGCAACGCTGAACTCATACGTCATGCTCCCGGAACTGCTTCTGTGTACAACTGCTGGCGCAAGCTAGATTAAAGTGATTATTACGTTTTGAATATGGATATTTTTCTAACAAAAACGCATCGATTCGCTACAGAAGGCCTTTCTTTGTTCACCCCCCGGAGCCGTGTGAGACACTTTTTTTATGGACGGGCGCTTTTTATGTAACTTCTTTTGGACTGATGCATGCAACACCCGCTGAGTGCCATTAAACAGCTTGAAAGATCAAAGACCATTTTTAATATAACTCCAACTGGATTCGTCTGAAAGAAGAAAGTCATATACACCTAGGATGACTTGAGGGTGAGTAATTTATGGACTAATTTTCATTTTTGGGTGAACTAACCCTTTAAGTATAGCATTCATGCAGAACATTTTTAGGGTTTTCTTTTTAATGGGGTTGAGAACGCGTGAAAAAGTGAAATTTTTTAACATTTGGATGTTTGCCGAGGCCCCCTCGTGGTCCCTAGCCCCCTTCATGAAAACCACTGTTTTAGACCTCATTAACAAACAAAAGCTATGGTGTGTCAATCATAAACATAATTAATCTAAAATACTGTTAATTTGTATTATTTGTTATGCTTATACTACATTCATATCTAACAATACATGAATCCTGTAGGCTTTTCCCCAGATTTTTACTAGCTCTAGCACTGTAACCAGCAGAATCACATACTCAAATTTTACAGCAGAATGCTATCGAGGACATGTATCTGTGAAAATTTCAGCTTGCTATCTGGTCCCCCACCAGAAATAATCAACTCTAAATTAAGGGGAATTTTTTAAAAATTTGGCACTTTCTTACACCTTTACTTTCTATATGCACCTTATGTCAAGCCACCAAATTTTTTACATTAAAATCCACAGTATGAAAACTGGATATTCTATAACTGCAAAACAAAGAGTCTGGAACACGTGAAGATGAAAAATAAAATACTTGAGGAATATCAACACAGTGCAAAATTCTACCACTGTGATTCCCAAAAGCATCGTAAGCCTATAGATAGTAAAAACTACTGCCACCAATGGCTTCAATGATCAACTTAGGTTGACGATGCTTCTGGGAAATGCAGTCCAGAATATGAAGCATACTGCTTTATTAAAAATATTTAATATTTTCTGTCCAGTGGCTCACCTTCTGCCCTGGGATTCTTGAGCAAGTTACGTCGTTTCTTAGTTAAGAAGTAAAACTGGCGCCAGTTGACTGGTGGTCTGGAAACATCTTGTGGCTGGATCCCCTCTCTCCGACAGCGCTCTCTCCAGTGTGAGGCACTGTCCACCAGCTCCTTCCACTCATGACACACCAGACGACAGACTCGCACCACCTGATGAGCAGGCAGATTCAGTAGGATCTCCTCAACCACAGCTAGAGGAACATCTGAACGCAGACCTGAGCACTGACAGAGGAAGAAAGATTCAGTTCTAATCCTGTTGGAAAATCCAGCTCTGGAACATGGTTGCTGGTTTTTAGCTGGTCATCAGCTATACCATGTTCCACCCTGACCTTTGTAACATGGCATGACCATCTGGCTTAATGCTGGTCCAAGATGATCTACCTGTCATATGGCAAGTCAGTCCATTTCGACTAGCATTTGATTTAACGCTTTAACAACTGGCTGTAACGGAAACCAAAGAGCTCAACAACTTACTGAGTCTGATCTGGGTTTAAAGTCCCTCGAAGCAACATGAAATTGTCCGCTCTCTGACTGGCCCATTTTTGTTTTTGATATTATATTTGCTTTATAAGTCACTCTTGCGCGTCTGGACCTACGGGTGGAAACGTAGGTTATGTCTCATAGTCTGACGATGTTGCAGTAAAAAACTGAAACACAAGTAACCTAGCTACCTTCGCATTAATGATATGTCAAAGAACGTTCTTCTAACCAGTGATAACGACTCTTAATGCGGCAGCATTGAATGAACCTGGAATAGTCTAGCAGTGGAGCACCGACGGCTCACTTCTGACGGCTCAGATCTGTTATATGTACTGCTTTTCGGTTTAGATATCGCATTAGTTACACACAGTAGCATTCTAGATTCCAAACTCGCTGAGTCAGAATATAATTAATCCTTATAATCACATGTTTAACGAGATCCCAAACCGAACGTAGCCTTCTGTTACAGGTGTTACGGTTTAACTGGTGACCGTGTTATCTGGTGACCAACTTCCTGGTTCAGGTCTCCGCTCCGGATGTGATGGAACGACCGCAGCAGATTCGTCGATTCTGAAAGCACAAACTGACGTGATATTAAGCTGTCTACTAAACGCACAGTTGCTCATTACATGATTTTGGTACTCTTGTAAAGATTACAAATTATTGGTATGATCGCCCGTAGCGGCTTAAGTACGGAAAATAATCCAAAAGGTCTGTTTGGTACGTTTCGAACACGCGCTAAACGACGCTAGTAATGAACCACTGAGCTACCGAACTACACTGGTTCAGGTTCAGCGTCACATTGTGCGGCTGGCTGAATCAAGGAAATGTGACCGTGTTAACTTGTGACCTGTGTTAACCTATTATGAAAATGAACCACAGTAGAAAGCTGACTACATTTTATGGTTTATGATATTAAAGTACATTTCATGGACTCTCAGACCATGGTAAATTTGCGGCTGCTATGGTTTAATGTTAATTACAATATCGTTAAACTATATTTACTATAGTAAAAACATGGTATATTTTCTTCAGAAACTCAGTAACGCTATTTCCAAGTTGTTTTGCCGTTATTTTCTCGTATAAATACTTTGGAAGCCACTTGATTATCTGATTGTAGAGAATGAAATGACCCTCCTCTATCAGTGTGGTTGAATACTATCTGTATAGTATACCTGCCGTATACTAACACGAACTATTTTATATGGGTTCGAAGCTGCTGTGATTTTTTTTTTTTGTGCTTATTTTATTGTCTTATGCTGATTAACCGTGTGAACATTTACAGTCTGTTTAGCCTACATATCGACTGCGAATATATTCACAAGCAGAAAATAATATTGTATCACTTATTAACATTTTATGTAAGAATTTTTTTCCCCAATCCCCCCCAGGAGCCGAGAATATGCCATTGTTTTGGTGCAATTCCTGATTGTATCAAACCTTTCGTCAAGTCTGGCCCTAAAGGTTCTCTACACTCTCCTAATTTTTGACAACACTAACTTATTTGTTGACCCATGTCTTTTCAATGCCATGTCAAACAAATATATTCGTTCAATTTTTAGTAGATCTCAGATTTCCTTGCCTGCTTTTTGGAATAACATATTTAGTGAAATATGTTTTGTATTTGTAATTGTTATCCTTTTACTGCATATAAAAATATATTAAAAGAAGTGTTATGAGAAATATAGCCTTTGGTATACCAACAATTATACACAAGATGTGTTTTCAACCTAAGTCTTATTGACCTATTTTGAGAAGATACACTTGTGACCCTGGACCACAAAAATCTTAAGTCGCTGGGGTATATTTGTAGCAATAGGCAAACAAACAAAAAAACATTGTATGGGTCAAAATTATCTTTTTTTTTATGTCAAAAATCATCAGGATATTAAGTAAAGATCATGTTCCATGAAGATATTTAGTAAATTTCCTACCCTAAATATTTCAAAGCTTAATTTTTTATTAGTAATATGCATTGCTAAGAGCTTCATTTGGACAGCTTTAAAGGCGATTTTCTCAGTATTTCGAATTTTTTGCACCCTCAGATTCCAGATTTTCAAATAGTTGTATCTCGGCCAAATATTGTCCTAACAAACCATACATCAATGGAAAGCTTATTTATTCAGCTTTCAGATGATATATAAATCTCAATTTCAAAAAATGGACCCTTATGACTGGTTTTGTGGTCCAGGGTCACATTTGATAAAGTGAATGATCTTTCTCACTCTCATTTTAAGATATAAAATATAATATGAACAAATATGAATGACTATGTGCTTTCCGAAAAATATTATTTCAACAAAACATTTTATTAAAAAATGTAGGGTTCTCACATCACATTTTTATATCGTTTAGAAATTTATTAAAATCATTTTAATAAGCACTGGTCAGAGTTGTTTGATTTGTTTGTAAAGTATAATTTGCTGAAGAATTATTGCTCATAAATTTTCTTTATTCTTTTTTTTAATATTTTTATGTTTTTTTCTGTACACATATCTTATATCTATGCATGTCAATAAAAACAATGAATAAAATAAAATATTTTTTTGGAGTAATGTCTGCAGAGGTAAGCTCTTATATAAAACTATCTTCATGGAGACAACATGTTATCAGTTACTTCTGGCTGCAGAATGAAGGAAACACGTAACGTACTTCTGTAAATATGGTATTTTTACTATGGCTTCAATGATTGGAAATGTTTGCAAAGGTCGCAAAAGCCCTTACAGCTTCAATCACTCCCTTTCCACTATACATTTCTTACATTCTTTTACAACTGTTACAAATGCAAAATTGATATATAGAGCAGATGCATGAAAACAAGATATAATAACTCATCTCATCAACTGCCTTCAACATGCAATCTTATTGCAACACTTTAAAATGAACTGCACCTTGTGGTCATTTAATTTTCAGCTATAATTTGTAATCAGTAGGGAACCTTGATTATTTGCTGCAGGTAATGTTATCTGTACTGGTGCAGCTTAAACAAAGACCTCAAGTGTACAATAATAGGTCTTTTTAAATACTTGTCTCTTTTAACCTTCAACAGTTATTTAGCTTCATTTTGAATTCTTTTTTTATTATTAGTAAATGCTTAAAAGTTTTTAATTAGTCTAAAACGCTAGAAAAAAACATTATTTATACATTGTTCATATTCTTCATCTAAACGTTATCAAAACGTTCCAAAATAATTATTAGACTATTTTTTGTTAGTTGGCGTGAACACAGTCCATGTACACAAACAACTTTTCGAGATGGTAATAAAAGCTGTCTGGTACAGTAATGCACTTCTCCGTGACGTGTCATCATCATATCGCATTCGTCAGTGTTGTAGGAGGAGCCATGACGTAGGCTAAACGCAAGCTTCCCACATCAGTAACGTTACTTCCGATTTGGGTCTCGGTAAACATGTAAATCCTAAGGAATATATTTGCATTCTGACCAGAATCATGGTACGTGTGGCTTAATACGATATCTAAATCGGAAAGAAGAACATATATAACGGATCTGCTTGAAGTGAACCTTCAAGACGCTTCACTGCCAGACATATTCACATTTTCCAGAAGCAGATTAGTGTGCTGCCACAATAAGTGTCGTTATCGCTGTTTAAAAGAACTATGACTGAGTCTGACTGAGACTGTAACTAATGCGAAATAGCGACTACTGTTTGGGTTTCAGTTGGATAAGTGTAGCTTCGACAGACCGAGGGACGTAACTTCCGGGTTTGCACACCCGTATGTCCAGACTCGCACAAGTGTCTTATAAAAGACAAATGCCATATCAAAAACAAGAATAGGTCAGGAGAGAGCGGGAACATCAATGTTGCTTGAAGGAAACCCAGATTAGACTCAGTAAGTTGCTTAGTGTTGATTTGAGAGAATTAACACATCAAACTGGCCCAGACATAGGCCCAAATGCAGAAATAAACTTTCTTTTCTGCTGGAAAATCCATTTTAAGATGATAGATGTGAGAGAGAAAAAAACCCGCTGAAACTGGTATTTGGTCTAGCTGCTCTTCTAGCCTGGTCATAGCTGGTTTGCAGGCTGTTTTTAGATTGGTTTTGACCACTTCTTTAGCTGGTCAGGCTGGGAGTCCACTTTAAACCAGCTAAGACCAGCTGTTTTTGTTTGTTTGTTTGTTGCCTCCCCCAGCAGAACATGGTAACTGGTTTCTAGGAGGTTCAAGCTGGTAGACTGGCAATAAACCAGTTGCCAGCTTAAAGTGGTCAAACTGGGGTTTGGAAGATTATAGTTGATAACCAGCTAAAAACCAGCAACCATGTTCCAGAGCTGGATTTTCCAACAGGATTAGAACTGAATCTTTCTTCCTCTGTCAGTGCTCAGGTCTGCGTTCAGATGTTCCTCTAGCTGTGGTTGAGGAGATCCTACTGAATCTGCCTGCTCATCAGGTGGTGCGAGTCTGTCGTCTGGTGTGTCATGAGTGGAAGGAGCTGGTGGACAGTGCCTCACACTGGAGAGAGCGCTGTCGGAGAGAGGGGATCCAGCCACAAGATGTTTCCAGACCACCAGTCAACTGGCGCCAGTTTTACTTCTTAACTAAGAAACGACGTAACTTGCTCAAGAATCCCAGGGCAGAAGGTGATTCACATCAGTATCACTGATATACTATAAAAAATAATTTTTATTTGTAGTTATTAATTGTTATTTCCGTTTTAGTTTGTTATTTTAGTACTAAAGGAAAATGAGAAATGTTGCCTTGGCAAGTAGCTGAAATAAAATTAGTTTTTAATTTATATTTTATTTCAGTTAACGTTTATTATATTTCAAGTGATATTTTTTTTATGGTTTAAATTTTAGTTTTAGTTAATAATAACCCTGATTCACATAGATACGTTTGAACAAGTGTCATTGTGTGAATTTTTGCTTCTCTGATGTTCTTTTTAGATAAACTTCAAGGATGGAAGATTGTACAGAATGGAGGTCACCGCTGGGTGGCAGAGGAAAATAGGAAACCATTTCCGGATGAGACGGTCACAAAATGTTTTGTAACTTCTTATGGGTACATTTGATAATTTAGATCTTGTAACACAGTTTTGAGCTTATTTATTTGTCAATATATGATTATCAATCAATCAGCAAGCCAATCCACACATGAATCACAGATAAACTTTGTCCTCAGGTTATGTTTGAAGCAACAGCTGATAGATTTGAAGAAAGAAGGCTACAGTGCCGCTTTCATGGATCAACTACAACCTCATATCAAAATATCAGACTGGTGAGTGTTTGCTCAAATTGCTCCTCTATCTTAGGTGGTGAATTTCATTTTTAATTTTTTTTTTTGGTGCTGAATTTGACACATTTTCTGTGAATGACCAGTCCATCTGGGTCATCATATTAAGATTTAAATATTTATGTTATTGTCATAGTTGTTTTATTATTATTATTGCAAGAATCTGTATAAATTGTAACTTTATGTGAAAAAAACACTCTTTTTTTGGAATATAAAGGAAATTTTTTTTTTTTTTTAAAGTCAATGTGCTCCAGTGTTTTTTAAACCCCGTTGACTTTCAGAAAGTCTTCTTTTGTGTTCCACAGTAATGGTGACAGAATGATCATTTTTGGGAGAACTGTCCCTTTAAATGCAGTACCAGGGTTACTTAAAAATCAGGTTCTATTATGAAAGCACATTTATGGGATGTGTTATCTGCAGGTATGTCCCACGCTTTGATTGTGGTTGTCAGTATGAGATCAGTGTGGAGTTGCTTGATCGGAGGAAAAAACCCATCTGTACTTTTCAGCCTCGGAAAGTTTTTTTTCAACAGTGGAATGATGAGCCGTGGTGTCAAGTGAGTAGCATAATACTGACAGTCCAGTTATTTCCCTATAATCAAACTAACAGTCTAGGCGTCATTGTCTCTGTATTTGTTCTGCTTTATTTCAGATGATACATGTCTTTAAGGATTATGGACCTGGGGTTCGGTTTATCCGTTTCACTCATGGAGGGGTGGATACACAGTTTTGGGCAGGCTGGTATGGGATACGGGTCACCAACAGTAGTGTGGAGATCTGTCCAGCTGAAGAGTGATAGTGTCTTACGGCATTATTTTTTTTCCTTAAATTAACAGGTACAAAGGTGCACAAAGGAATTCTAATGATGCAATATGCCGTAAAGGAGACATATAACATTATAAAGCACTGTTGTGTATGTACTTAGTTCCAATAAACGCTGTATGTTACACTGTTAAAATGAGGTACCTTAGTCTGCAACTATTAAGTACAGCCATGCACTTCTTATGAAGTAATCGGTTTACTTAAAGGATTAGTTCACTTTCAAATTAAAATTGTCAAATTGACCCCCATGTCATCCAAGATGTTTACGTCTTTCTTTCTTCAGTCGAAAAGAAATTAAGGCTTTTGATGAAAACATTCCAGGATTATTCTCCTTATAGTGGACTTCAACGGCTACCAAACGGTTGAAGGTCAAAATTATAGTTTCAGTGCAGCTTCAAAGGGCTCTACACGATATCAGACGAGGAATAAGGGTTTTATCTAGCGAAACGATTGGTCATTTTCTAAAAGAAAAAAAAAAGTATATGCTTTATAAACAAAAATGCGTGCCTTACACTGCTCTGCGATGCGCGTCCATGACTTCACGTAATACGTAATTACGTTGAAAAAGTCACGCTTGACGTAGGCGGAAGTTAGGTTTCGAAAGATTTAAACATCCAGGATACGCACACGAAGTGACCATTTTAAACTGACACAAAGACATTTGAATATGTGTCATTGAACATACAACAACTTTTGAACGGTCCTCCTTCTCCACATTTGTAAACACTGACTGAGTCGGTACTTCCGCCTACGTCAAGCGTGACCTTAAGAAAGAAAGACGTAAACATCTTGGATGACATAGGGGTGAGTAATTTATCAGGAAATTTTTATTTGAAAGTGAACTAATCCTTTAAGTGCAAAAAATTATTCCAAGTTACTGCATGTAAGTGTTGCTATGTTAAAGGCACAATATGTAAGATTGTTTAATTAAAATATCCAAAACCCACTAGAACAGTGTTATATATTTTGCTGACTTGTGTACTTACATTATCCCAAATGTTTCAAAGAATGTTTAAATCCAGAGAAATAAGCAATTTTAACTAGTGGCACAAACCGTGTCCATAGTGTCATTGTGTCGCCTGCCAATGACGTCTTAACCCCTCGATTCCGGTTTTGTTTTGTAGAAATCCTCCGATCAAAATGACTAAATGTAAATGTGCACAGTTCAGCTGAATGATGAAGTTTACTTTGACTGTAGGCCTATGCGTTGCACAAAATTAACACGCTGTACACTGAAACAAAATAACCAGAACATTAACAATAACTTATAGAGCTCGTGGTATATCTCAATCAGATGCGCTCTCGGCCACTGATCTATGCTCGGGACGTTTTCTTTTATAATTATCATTGGCTGATAGAAATGTTAAAAAAAAAATAGTATTTTAGATGGAAATAAGATCAAGACCCTTGATCAATTTTTTTTTCCCTTTTTTTTATTAGTATTGTTATTATTACTTTTATTGTTAACATTGTTGTTATTATTATTATTAGTATTGTTATTGGTTTTATTTTATTCATTTACTTTCTTTTTTATTTAATTGTTTTTGCTTTTGCTTTCTGAAAAGCCTCCCGTGGACTGGTGTTGAAAATTAGCATGTGCGCTAAAACACTTGAGCAAGTGCATATGGTTTGTCCAATGTAACTGTGATGTCCATGTTAAATAAAAAAATGTATAATAATCATAATAGAAATGTTTTTAAAAATTTGTATTTTATATGTAAATAAGATAAAGACCCTCGATCACGTCATGATCTATTCTGTCGTGCAGCGTTCAAAATTGTGGACAAGCCAGTTCCACCGTAAAATAACCTCATCGTTTTTTGAACTGGTTAATTAAAACTATCTATCTGATTCAGGAAACTAATAAGAATTCTAATCACTTTTAGCGAGCATGAGGGAGGCGAATGGTAATAAAAAATCTAAAAATACAAATAATCCTTTATCTCACAACTCTCGTAATTATGGCTTTTAGCGAGCATGAGGGAAGTGAATGGTGCTTCTCAAACGGAAGGCTGCATCTTAAAATTCAGATGATCTCAGTACGGACTCGTTTTCTTTCAGTTTATTTTCGTGAATTTAAATGTGTGCAGCCTTCGTAGGATGCAGCCTTCCGTTTGAGAGACACCCATAGATGAGCTTTGTTGAACTGAAAAAGGCTCTGAATGAGGAGTCGATTCCCCTTGATTGAATCGATTCCAACCTTTGGAATCGACTCTCAATTCCCAACGCCTCGGATCGATTCTTTTTGGAATCGATTCCCAGTCCTAGTGTCACGCTCGTTCAGCGGCCTCGTTTTGCTTCGAGAGCTTTCAGCCTCACCCTGCTTCAATCTACTACATTAATAAATCATTAGCTCATCCATGAACATGATTTCTGCCCGAGTCCCGTCAGATTGCATCGTCTGTGGGGATGAAGACCACAACTCCCATGATTCCACACTCAGTCGTAGCGTCATCAAACTACGCCTTTGTCTCTGTTTGTTTTGAATACGCGCCCTCTAGTGGCGAAAATTACAAACTTAGAGGGGTCATATGATGCGATTTCAATTTTTCCTTTCTCTTTGGAGTGTTACAAGTTCTTGGTGCATAAAGAAGATCTGTAAAGTTGCAAAGACTAAAGTCTCAAATCCAAAGAGATATTCTTTACAAAATTTAAGAGTCAACCTCTCCTACCTAAAACAGCTCGTTCTAACACGCCCCCACATGTCTACGTCAAGATGTGGGAAGATTTGCATAACGCCGCCCAAATGTTTATGCAAAGAAAGAAGGCATAACTTTTATTCTCACTGTAGTTTTGTTGACGCTGCAGCCATGTCGTGAAGACGCTGTGTGC